GCTGACTCAATTTGCTAAAAAATTTGTAAACAGCTTAGAAAGGGCTGAAAGCCCTATGAAGCGGTATATAAGTCTAACTGCTATTGCTATTTGTTGACTAAGGCACATTGGTTCATTTTACATATTACGTTAAGCTATATACCAAGGTTTATAAATCACAATTAGCTGTATCTACAAAATATCTTCGCTAGGTTCACTATAGAATAATTACAATGTGGTTGAATCTAGAGAATTGTCCATGAAAAGAAGGAGCAGGTTCTGGATTTCCTGTCTTCCTTTTCCTAGCCAGCCTCCAGAAATCCTCACAAATCCTGTCTTAATAGTTACAGGATCATAGAAATAGAAAGCATGGCTAGGAGCGTTCTAAGGAAGAAGAAGACAGAGGGTGTCTCTGATTTTCTTCAAAAGTCTTTCATCCTGCCAAACGAAAACAGATCTCATCCAGAAAGGTCTTTAGAACCTCTTGGAGATTATTTTGGAGAGGACTTTGGGGCTATGGGTTAAAGGAAGTTTATGTTTGGCTCCCTATGTGGCCAAATATCTTGAGATGTAAAATTCGTGTAAAACACAGCAGTTCAGGTGGGAAAGTTGATTTAAATAGTGGGAGGAAGGCCTTACTTTCTTGCCTGTTCCATAAACAGGTTGTTTCCCTTTCCATTTCAGACCTTGTGCTATATTCTAGTCATCTCAATAGCAAACATTGCAAATTTGGCCAGTACAGCCACAGCAATCACCATACAGAGAGACTGGGTGGTTGTTGTTGCTGGTGACAATAGAAGCAAATTAGCAGGTAAGATATATTTGTTTACCTTGTTTTATTCCGTGTGACTGACTTAAAAGAGCAATTGAATTCCACACATTTTGCTGGATTGCAGCAAGAGAACATGATTTCAGATTTCTTTTCCAGATCTTTTTTTTTCTCCCTAGTTTGGATAAAGCAGCAGATCAGAGAATTATATAATTTCTATGAATAATTAGTCATTATAGTTTCATCAAGATTTAGCAAACAAATTGTAATACTCCTTAAAATACTACTTTATCACTTTTTTTGCAAAACAATATTGTTATCGTTGTTCATCAGTCAAATCAATTTATGTAGATACCTATTCAATATGCAGATCTGGATGGCTATACAGTTAAAAACAACAAATGCTTATCATCATCCAAAGAATAAAATATAAATTGTATTGTGCCAGAAGCAGCTCTAACAATTAATTAAGATAGGCTCACAAACTTCTCCTTACTTAGTGCCTGGTGGAGAAACCCAATCACTAGAGCCTTTCAGAAGGTGGGGGGGGCAGAATTGGGGCAATATGGATTTTGGGAAGAATGCTGTTCCCTGGGGCAGGCGTAGAGACAAAAAGGCACATTTCCTGGTCCCACCAGATGACCATGTGATGGAACTTGGAGCATGCCAACTCAACTAACATCAGACAGGTGGAGGTATTTGGATGCGGTCAATTCTGCAAATATCTAAGCCCATTCTACTTGCACCAAATAAGATACCTTCGTGCCGCTGCTTCTATGGAAAGAAGGGTAATTTGTGTTGCAAACAGACAACAGCAGCCTTGAGTTCTAGTCCTAAGCATTTTGAGTTGTAACTGAATAAGGGCTGAAATAGAAGTAATATGCTTCAAATTACCCCACAGTTTTTTATTGTTAAAACTAAAAGTCCAAATGACCTTCAGATATACACTGAATTGCAACTAACTGTTATATAGCATGATGCCAGATTCTTTGTGCTCTACATTTTTATTCTGATTGCAAAAATCATTAATTAAGAATATATTTATGTGGCCATATGGTATCCAGCTATTCCATTTTTTAATAAATGCTCTGAAAGATTCCAGATGCTGCCCAATGGAAATATGGACATGCACAGGGAGACTAAATGATTAAAAGGGTATGGTGTGAGAAGGGAACAGACAATTAAAATTGTGTCCTGTTTACTATTTAAAACTAAGTTACATGTTTTATAGAGTCATGCACTATTTGCTGCAGTAAGTTACCATTTTACATCATAGGAAGGTAGTGAAATGTTGCTATGCTCCTAAAAATATTTCCAATTTACATATGTAACAGGAATGGTCAGATTGGAAGTAATCAGTAGACTACTGAAACTGGGGGAAATTGTGCTTTTTTTCTTCTATAATAGTTGGGATTTTTTTTCTATTTGTAGTCAACCCAAAATGTTGAATGATGGAAATTTGAAAGGTGGATAAAAGGATGTTGCTTTTTATGCGATATTAGTTAAATACTAGAATTTGATGAAACACAATGTGATGATAATATATAAAATATTAATTATCTGGTTCCGGTTTAATGTGAGTAAGAAGACTTCGAGATAGGCATAATATCTTTGCATTCAGTGATACTTGTTTAGATAATTCATTCTTTTGTGAATGAATGCATACAACTTGCTTTTTTATATGTGATACTTATTTAACACATTTTATATAGCTCTCTAGGAAGGTTTATGAAAGAATATAAATATTGTTTATTTATATTATATTATATATATATATATATATATATAAATTTATTTATATTATTATAAATATTCATACTAAGCCAAATATATATGCAGCTAGGTTTAAAAAGTTAAAACCAAGTGTAAAATTAGACAAAAACCCAGGGAAGAGTCAAAAAAACGTATTTTTAAAGTATAAGACGCACCTTTTTCCCTGCAAAAAGAGGCTGAAAATCTGGGTGCGTCTTATACACTGAATATAGCATTTTTTGCCTTCTGAAACCCCGCCCCTTCACCAAAATGGCTGTGCATAGCTTTTAGGAGGCTTTCAGAGAGCTGCTGGGGGCTGGGGAAAGCCGAAATGAGC